GCTTCGAACAATCGCCCTACGGATAGCTTTTGTGAAGTGGTTTGGTCCAGTTAGAAGTCCATCCAGTGACCTTGAAATAACGGCAATCCAGTCTGCTCCATTGAATTTTTTTTATGTTCATGTGTAATAAAATTGGCGTTAATTACTATTGCTACAGCCTGGTTTACAACGGAACTAACGGGGCCCAAATGATCCCAGACGGCATCCGTTTTGTGGATTGTGCCAGTTTGCCACTTTATCTGGGTATTTCCCTTGGAATGACTCACGTGAAGGCTTGTTTGATGGTAAATACTTTGTAAAACGATTCCACGGTCTGCCTCATATGATCCGTTTGAAAAAAAATGGCTGCCTTTGAGACTACTCAATCTTTTCATCTACTTTTTCTTTTTTTTCTTTTTTCATATATAAACTTTTTGATCTATTGTACCGACCCCCCCCCCCCACAAAGTACTGGGTGGGTTTGCTTCTTTGTTTCCTTCCTTACCTCGACCTTTGTTTCCTTCCTTACCTTGACAGCAAAGTTACACTTCACACATTTCCTCTCGTATGCCATCGACAGTCGTCATTTTCGAAAAACCCGATAAACTAACTCAAGGATTGTAACGTTTTTTCTCTTATTTCATTTCTTCCGTGGCTGTTAGAAGCATGGCTTATCCCGATCCATCCACTCAATGTCGGCCATTCTCCTTTTTTATCATTTTTCTCAACTCTTAGCTCTGAAAATTTTCGGCTTTTATGTCAATGGGGCTATAGTACATTCTTGGCTTTTCCTATGTAGTAATTCTTAAACCGAATTCATCTAGCTTCTTATTACTCTTTTCACATATTATTACTTACCACCTCTTACTATCACTTAATATCATTACTTTACATATTGTTCCGAATTCCTTGTCGCTTGCATGCTCAATAGTTCCGTTGAATTTTTTCATACGATCGGCCCGGAACAAATTGTTTTTGAAGCGGACCTTAACCTTTATGTAAGGCCAGTTTTGAGTATTTGGAGATTGAGGCTGAAGTGCTACCTGCTTCATTGGCAGAGGTGTGAGCTAAAAGAAATCAGCCCACAACTGGCATCTGGGCAAAAGAACTGACCATTGCACTGCTTCAAGTTAATGATTTATTGTTTATCACAAGCAGTTGGTGTAAACAACGCAAGGAAATATCTATCTCACCTGAGATTGTAGAAGAATCATTCAAAAAAAGGTCATGGAGTAACTCCTCTTTTATATGTCTATGACATTCTGCAGAGTGTTACATAAGGGTGCTGCTAATTCATAGGTAAAATCTATGCTTCAGTATTTACTCGAATTGGGGCCTTTGTTGTCCTGAAATGGATTGTACAATCCGTACAGAGGTCTCAAAACATCGCCCTATTTGATTGCCTTCAGGTCATACTTGTTTTTTCTCGACTTTTGAAGTCATGCCTGATTTTGTCCCATCACCCGAACTTCGGGAACTCTGAGGAGTTCAGCTTTTACTCTCGTTATATGTTAACACCCAACAAGTTTTTTTTTTCGAGAAAACTTCGCGATCGCCATTGCCTTCAGAGCATTCATTTAATTTTTTCGATCGATGAAGATACTTTGTGTAATTCTATGTTATATTTATTTATAATATTTCTTGCTATTTACACTTCACAGTTGCTTTTTTTACTAAAAATAATGTGGTTATCGTATTAAAGTGAATTGGATTATTTGTAATATTATAATAATACAAAGCACGACATAAAATCCTTGAAATTTCCAGAATTTTTCTGTGAACATAACTTTTTGTAACCGATCCATCGGTTGCCAATTTCTTGATGGGACCACAAGTTGTAATTCTGATCAGTTCATTTTGACGAAGCGGTCAGAGACGGAAGGGGCAGGGTGTGGGCTGTTCTTATGGCAAAACTTTGAGTGAAGATGATGAATGAGCTTCGATAAACTCATGGATCACACCGCCATTACAGCGATTCCCGTCAGCTTCGGTCTGATTGCAATACAAATCACCATTAGACATTCCTGCTGTTACTCGTAACTATTACTCTCAACAGCTTATAGAAACGAAACCTTTTTGAATAAATCTAGGGGTCTATTCGACTGAGGGACCTTACCAAAGGACCTTATTTAGGAAGGAATCTTTTAAACCAGTCAGCCGACCAACGTGGAGGAAGGGAAGTTTGGTACATAGCCCCTTCCACGAAATGAGGGAGGGTTTCGATCTTCGGCGTTGATCGCTATGCCACATGCCACTAGTCATCCAGATCTTATTGCACCCCTATAGGACTCCCTAATGAGTACTAGTATGCTACTATTTTGGTATGGATGGCCCACCATCACATCCAAAGATTTGCCATATACCTACCTGCTACCTGCCAACACATTTCGGTCGTATCAATGATTTTTCGTTTTGCTATCGATTTTCTTGTTAGAATGAATCGAGAAACTTTTTCTTTTGGATCCTCCTGTCATTGGGGACTGGACCTTCAGGGATATTCACTTTGATTCCACACAAGTATTTCTAATTGTAAGACAAAGCTTTGTTTCTAAAGACACGATGCTTGCTCTTGGTTTACAAAGAAATCATTTGTAAACATGACGGCACTGCTATTGCTAATATTCTGGCCCATTTGAATAATTAATCAAGCAAATTCGAAACTTACAGTTCTCATTCTCTTAGGCGACAAATCTGCTTAATGAAGGATCAGTTCGCAATGACGGGACTGTATGGATTGTGTATTTTGAGAATAGAGCTCAGAAAATTGGATCTAGAGGATTTCCCCCTTTTGCTTCCTTTTCTTCTAGTTCTCTAGTTCTTTGGATCTAGAGGATTTCCCCCTTTTGCTTCCTTTTCTTCTAGTTCTCTACTTCTCAGCCTTATATGGTCTCCATGATTGATGCATTTATCCAATATGTATTTACAACTCGTTCTTTTCTTGTAAAGCCCTTTCGCTTCCTTTTCTTTTAGTCCTCTATTTCTCAGCCTTATTTGGACTTCATGATGATTAATGCATTTATCCAATATGTATCTTCCTTTTCTTCTAGTTCTCTACTTCTCAGCCTTATATGGTCTCCATGATTGATGCATTTATCCAATATGTATTTACAACTCGTTCTTTTCTTGTAAAGCCCAATGAATGATTCATTTTTGAAGGTTTTCTAATCTTATTTATTAACTTCTTCATATAGTATGAGATCATGCGCAGTTCTGTGGAAATGTAGCAAATACTATTTTGTAAGAATTCCTGTGCAGATAGAGGTGGGAGTGGATAGAAGAGCTTAATGCTTTTGCGGTCAATTGTCTAGGGATCAGTTCCTAGTAAAACCGATAAATCCAAGCCACACTTCACTTTTCCTTTGGTCGCCTAAGTTTTGTTTCCTTTGGTCCCTTTTCCTTTGGTCGGCTGAGTTTTTTCAGTTATTTCCATGGGTGATTCCATGAGTTTTTTCAGTTATCTCCATGGATTCTACAAATTTGAACCTTGAATACTCGAAAGGAGCTCTATGATTTCGATTCTTCAAGAAACTTAGACTATTCGACCGTCGTATTCAACTGTACTGTACATCGATCAATTCATCCATCGATCGATTGCCTGGAAAAGTGTCATTCATTTAAAGGCTGGCTGTAAATTTGGAAGATACCCTGGTGTGAACCCTTCCCGCAACCATTCCCATTCAGGGCGGAGTCAAGGTTCCGAGGCTCACTCCTGGTTCACTTTTCCCCCATTCAGGACGGAGTCAAGGTCCTGAGGTCCATTCCTGGTTCACTTTTCCATCTCCCATACTTCACTGTGCTTCCTTCGAGCAATTTGTTCCAGCCGTATAAAATAGATTTTTCTACGGTTCTTACATTTTCACTTTGTCCACCCATATCTATGTAGGTAAAACTAATTTCACTCGATTTCATGGCGCAATTGTGGCTAAATTGGGTGACCATTGAGCAATACTCATAGTTCCATCTCATAATGAGCGAGTCCGACATCCTGTTGGGGTTCGGAGTTGTCCAGCGATCAAAACACCCATCAAGCGAGGTTTTTATGACAGGTAGCGAATGGGTCAGCTGTTTAGGGGCTGGTGTGAACTGAGCTCGGCATAAACTTAGGGATGATAAGGGATATATCAGTGCGATTAGCATAACTCATGT